GTTTTTCTTGACAAAGGTTTATATTTTACTTTTAAAAGGGAAAGCACCTAATAAAAAGGTATTTATTACTGAGACAAGAATATTCCTAAATCCCACCCACTCCTATCACTTATTTGTTAGTGGACATTCATTTTTATGGTTTTCAATAAGCCTGTAACACTATACGCTTAGAATTTGGAGCTTTTTTAGAACAAGTGCCTGAAGGTCTGCTTTATTTGAGACTCCTAGGATTTATCCAGATATATAAGGTTGATTTCAGCACCTTGGGCTTTAGAAAGTACATTTGGCATCCAAGGCTGGTTTAGGCTGTTTGGAATGCTTATGAATACTAAGAATGCAACTAAGCAAAACTCAGCTAGTTCTCATCTTTGGCTAAAAATAAGATTGTGCATCCATTTCCCAGTCTTTAGAGAAGCCCCTGTGAAGATCTACCAAAGATACAAACCACTTCCTTGTCAGAACATCATGCATTGAAGATGGAGCTGCCTGTAAATAAGCAAAAGAAAATGTGTATTGAGGACAGAGGTGCAGTTACTCCATATGTGGAGTAGTATTCAATGGCAGGATAAATACTAATGAGAAAGGCCGGGGACCTAGCTCATGCCAGGTGTAGGCATAGCTTAATTATGGGTGTGAAGAGTTTGGGCATGTACAAGGGAAAGTACTAGTTAGGTTCTCACTTCTATTGATGCAATGGGGGTGGGGTGGTTTTTTTCTCCAAATTGCATGTTTTCAATCATTACGTGATAATTTTAGTAACTCATTTCATGTTCCATATGTATATAATTCTTAGTTAAAAAGTAAAAGTAAAATGATTATTACTTACTGTACTCTTTTTATTTTTTACATTTTTGACTAGTAGTAGGTAAAATCTACTTTCCAGCTCTATCAAAGCATTTTTTTGTAGTGAAGTTAAAATAATTTGTGTTTTTCAGAATAAGGTGGTTACCACCTTATATTTACCAGCTGTTATTCCTCAAATGGCATTTTAGAAAATATTACAACATGTTCATATTTAGGACCATAAAACATATTCTGACAAATTCTAAGAGTTCAGCATTCCACTCTTCGATAAAAACTAAAAACTAATAATAAAACTTAAGATAAAATAGTGTGATTTTTTTTTAAAGATTTTATTTATTT